TATATATATATATATGTATATATATAGATATATTTAACTTTAACCCTTCTTCGTCTCTCTTTGATAGCAACTAAAAATAATCTAAAGAAACATCAAATTCTTCTCTTCAGTCTGTTAGCTGTTGTAACAACGTTCTGTTTACACGCAAACATTCCCCTTTGACATCACTTCCTGTTTCTTCACAAGCCAATATCTCAACAACTGTTCATCTGAGCGATGCGGAATTTGTTTTGCAGCACGTTATCAGTGTTATCTTTTCAAAAATGCATTCATGTTTATTACAAAAATTTGACGCCACAGGCACTTTAACTGTGTGTAGTTTTCACCTGTATGCTGTAAGTGTGCCCTCCTTTGAGGCCCTCTATGAAAGCGACCACCATGTGGGGTTCACCGTGGACGTTGTCAAGGCTGATATTTTTAACCAGCTGGTCCTTCTCATACACAAACAGGTAATATGCGGTGATGTTTCCATTGGGTTCTTCAGGAGGACTGAAGCTCACCCTCACCAGGTTCACTTCCTCTGGGATAACAGAGACGGTCACGTTCTTGGGAGGGTCTTTTGGCTCTGATTAAAGAGATGAAAGGATACAAAAGTCAAAAAGTCACGTCATGAGCTGAGATAGAGAGTGAATGACAGGATCTGAATGTACCTTCCTCCAGTGTTTGGAAAACAGTAGGCCCAACAGCCTTCCCATCCTCTAACGAAGCAGTAAAGGCGGTGATGGTAATGGTGTAGCGGGTGAACGCCATCAGGTTGGTCACAACAACAGCCATCAGCTCTCCTGGAGCTCGCACTGCAGAGAAGTTCACACCAGGCCCGTCCACCTGAGGAAACAGAGGCATTTATAAAAAAACTGGAAAAGTCTCGAGCAACAACCCCAGACTTAAAACCACAGTGATTTATCTCTGCAACTTCAAAACTATTATTACGGTTAACACACGCGACCTGCACAAAATAGGAAGTCGGTCCCGAGATAACAGCCGGAGCTTCCCACGTGATGCGAAGGCTGGTGGAGGTGGAGGTCACGTTCAGGTTACGGGGAGGCGAGTCGGGATCTGAGGAGGAGAGATGAGCAGAAAAGAGACAAAACTGAAAAATGGATGTGCTGTTAACCTAAATGCAGCTGCTCAATTTATGCCCGGCAGACATGTTATTCACACAAGACTAAACAAAATCAAAGAAAATAAGGTCATTTATTCTCTCAGATACTGAATTACCACACTAAAGACTTTCTCTGCATGCATTAGTGCCATCAGGATGGATAAGTTATTATATTTAGGCAGTTAATACAGCGATTATGTTAATTCACAAGCTGACGTTCATGTCTCAGCTGTTACAAGCCGTTCGGTCAAACCTTTTAAAGATTTTAGAGGCTAAATTGGGGGAATATAAAGTATTACACGTCAGATGGATAACTTTAAACAAAGCTCTTTGAATGACTTTCTTTGTTCCGTTTTGTTTAATTTGACTCATTAGTCTGAAGATCTAAGTGGCAGCTCTCTGTTGATAATAGAAAACAGATCCTCAGTGTGTTGTTCCTACTTCCAGCCAGAGTCGTTGCATATATCCAGTGCGTGTATTCTCCAACTCCAGCGTTGGTCACAGCAGCCACTTTGAAGCGATAGTTTCTGTATTTGGCCAGGGACTGAAGAGTGACGCTGCCTCCTCCGGTGCTGTCCGAGGCATTCACTGACACCGTGAAGTCGTTGTCCACGCAGCGCGGGGCAAGACCGGCCTCCGGAGTCGGCTGCGTGTTTGGACCACAATCGGTGGAAAGCAGCTGCGCGACGACGCGGTACTCCTTCAGCAGGCCCGGAACGGACAGCGGCGGAGCCCACTCAAGGCTCAGATTGCTCGAGGTGATCTCAGAGACGCTGAGGAAGCGAGGGGCAGCTGGAACTGTTAGTAGACAAAAGGGTGTGTGTGTGTGTGGGGGGGGAGATTTAATCAAGCATCTGCTCTCTGTTAAAGGAGCACCAGCTGCGCTTGGATGTTTAAAATACCGCACCTGATTCAGAAAGAGTGGAAGCCGTGCAGTTCACCTCGTCTCCTGCTCCGGCAGAGTTGACTGCGGCTATTACAAATGCATAACGCTGCTCTGGTGACAGCCCCGTCAGCGTGTATCCAGGTGTGTGGGTCTGGTGTGTGGAGATCTGCAGTTCAGCTTCGATTATGATCTCGTAAAACAGAATCTGTCCGTTGGGGTTGGCTGGAGTGTCCCAAGACAGCTCAATTGAATCCCAGCTCACTCCAGAGCAGGACAGGTTTCCCACAGCTTCAGACACTGCAGACAGACAGAACGAGAGGGAGGTAAACAGTCAAACTAAAATGCCTTTATGTCTGAATGTAGTCCTATTACAAAGTGCAGAAAAAATACATTAAAAATCTAAATATTGCAACTTACTCAGTTTTTCTATTATAGTGAAAGCAACTGTTCTTCAAAGAGCTCTTCACAACTATGTGAAGTCTTACTCTGTATGGTTCCACTGTGTGTTTTAGGCCCAACTATCAGCTGTGCAGGAAATTGCTTTGTTTACAGATTCTCTAGTTTCCACACATGGCTTAAAAACATGCATGATTTTAAACCTGTGGAGCCTTGTGGTCAGAGTGTTCTCAGTTTGGAGAAGAAAGAAGGAATTTGGACACATTATCCACCAAATTTTGAAAAGAAGAATAACGTTTTACTTTCAGAAACAACGTAAACTAAAATTGTCATGGTAATGCAAATTTGTGCATCTTACACTATATTACATTTTATTATTTTCTCACTATTTTCTCAACCAAAAGCTTCTGTTGGTCCACACCACTGTGTATTACATCCTGTCAAAGGTGAGCATGTCCAAAATTTAATTAGACTTATACATAACTAGGACTAGGGTTGGGCAGTATTGGCAAAAAAATGAATCACAATTAATTGTGGTATTTAGCCGATAACAATTAATATGACGATTAATCCCCTGTAGTCCCTGGACACCCTTATGGCCTTGTCACATGACCAATTTAGTGGGAAAGATTTGCTATTTGTAAAAAGCTGTTCCAAATTGTGTCAAAATTACAGACTTCAGACTATACATCAATTTTAAAATAGATAGATAGATATGTAAATTACACAACTTTTTTTTAATGTTTGTCATATTTGAAGCGGAGAGGAGCACCAAGCGGACTCTGCCTGGTGGCAATAATCATATTTTTTCAAAGTTTTCTGTAACAGTGTAATTTGTTAGCATTCAAAGAACTGGACAGTGATGACTCTGAGAATTGTCTGTAACTCTGACTGCCTTACAGATATTTGTTGTGTTTGCTAAGGCTGATTAGCTGTAGAGGCCATCTTAAACGGAGTTGATTCCTAAAGTTAATCAGCTGCAAATTTACATTCAGTGATTACTTTCTGAGAGAATTATTCAAATCAGATAAACGCACACGCAGACACGTGTTCACCCACTTCTCAGACAAAAATAACACAATATAGACTCTTGAAATTAGTTAGATCCTTTCTCTACCCGCATGCCTGTCTGTTCATAGATCTGCTTGAGAAGCACTTTGAACTGAATAAAACATCCGAATGTCAGCATCTAAGAATAACTTTGAACACCAAACTCAGCAGAAGCCTAAAACTGTGCGCCTGCACTTTCTTTTATGTGGGAACAGCGTGCAGTTTACCTGACTCGTTAGTTGTGAAGGTCACAGGGCGGCTGAATTGATTCCCGTGGCCCACTCTGGTGTAACTGTACACACTGATCTCATAGGAGCTGTGGGGCCGAAAGCCTGACAGGTGCTCCACGGTCGACGGACCAGAGGAATTCTACACAGGCAAACAGAAAACACACGCTTGATTAAATGATCCGGTCCTCATCGCTGGATAATATCAGCGTATCGGCACGCATATGTGCCGTTTAAGTATAATGTTACTGAGGAGGGATAGCTGGAGTGTGAAATTAGCCGGTGTGGAGTGTGTGTGTGTGTCCCATTGTTACTCAGAAGGAGCTTTCAGTGTGTGAAATTAATGGTACCCGATGTGTGACGGTTTCTGTGATGAGGTCTCGGATCCGGAATCCGTACTTTATCACCACTCCATTGGGCTCCAGAGGAGGCTCCCAGCTCAGCCACACGGATACTGCCGTGTGGTTAAATATAGTCAGGTTAAGTGGGGGAGACGTGGGGCCTGAAATGCAAAATAAAACCGACTTTAGATAAACCGCAACGATTAATAAAGAAGTTGTTTTTCAGTCAGCTGCCAAACTCACCCCCTTCGTCAGTATGAAGCTGCACGAGCAGGCTGGGCCCCGCCCCTTTACGCGTCGCAGCTGCAACCGTGAGATTGTAGGCCGTGTACGAGAGCAGGCCGGAGAGGGTGACTGAGGTGTTGGGGGTCTGGGTTGTGTTGGAGCCCCCGGGGCCAGACAGTGTCAGCGTGTACTCAGTTATTTCTCCATTGGCCTCTAGAGGACGCTGCCAGACCACCGCGATGGAGGACATGGACAGGTTTCTAGCCGACACTAAAAGTGGAGGAGAGCTGGGAACTAAAGAGACACACCCACGACAACGTCAGCATTGCAGTATGAGGATAAACACGTCTTCATCGATTTAAATCTGCAGGCAAACTCACTGTCATCATCTGTTCTCAGGTGCATCATCCTGGTTTGGTTGTAGGCAGGACCGGCCCCGGTTGCCGGTGTAACAGTCAGCACATATGGGAAATACTTCCTGAGCTTGGTAAACAGGAAGACATTATCGGTTGTGGTGTGTTTGATGGTTTTATTGACAGCTGACGTTCCCGGGCTGGTGCTGTTTGGGAATATGCCAGCTTCCTGTAAGGTGAGGATGTAGTAGGGCCGACCATTTGGTTCCATCGGGGGATCCCAGCTCACGATGATGGCCGTTGAGCTGAAGATCTGAGCTGTCAGGTTTGATACCGGGTCGCTCGGCACTGTGAGTGGAGATAAATAAAACGGCGTTAGTATTTTCAACAACAGATGATAAACTGTCAGCTTGACTCTGTTTTGAAGAATCAAAGCAGAGCATCAGCCAGACACAAATAATTTACAAAAGAACACACTTCTTGCCATATTTAACAAATATAAAGATTATTATTACCAAGATTGTTATAAATAACAAAATAAACAACATGTTAAAGTGAAACAATGAGAAATGACTTTACCCAAACAGAAAAATAGCAAAGCTGCAATACTATAAAAAAATGACAAGACATTAGGATAGGGATGTTGAACACTGAACATCTTGGGCTGAAAGAAAGAAAGATAGAAAAATACTCATCCTTTGCTTCTTTTTAGCCCATTTGGAAATATTGTACAAAGAAGGGGAAAAAAGAGTAGAGATGTAGAAAAAAGAAGAGATTTAGATGAAATATTTGTAAATTGAGTGAGCGGCCATAAGGAGCCGGGTTTTTGTGGGGAGCGGTCTAAGACCAGGGGAGTGAGACCCCGTTGGGCCTGGCTGTGCAGGAGACACAAGGTGCCCTGGAGATCCGGGTGTTTGGCTGATAGTGGAGCAGCTGGAGCACAGGTAGAGATATGGAGTCAGTCATCATTCAGACAGACAAAACTTCACAAAACAACAACAATGGCTAGCATGGACTGACTGGAGGCAATCTGCACCATTTTTCCAAAAATCACATAAAAACCCAGAGATGAGTTTTAGCACATTTTCTCCAAGCGAAATCGTTTCCACTGTCATTGCAGCACTGTCATTGTAAGACACAATAACTTTCACACAGCTTGAAACGATTGATCCTTATTATTAGAGTTTTTATGTAATTTTTTTAAAGGTAAGAGGAGGTTTGAAAAAAGTGTGCAGACTTGAACTCCAGTTATTTTTTGAAACTTTGTGTATGGATTTACATGTTCCTATTAACGTTATATACAGTTGTGTTTTTTGTGTGTGTCTGACTGACCATCCTCTGGCAGAAGCACGATTATTGGCTCAGACTGGACCCCTCCGTCACCCTGTACAGTGCTTGAAGTCATCCATATAGTGTAGTTACTGCCCCCAATCAGGTGAGTCAGAGTGTAAATGAAGGGCGAATCAGGATGGGTGTGGGCAGGTAAATCTGAAACAGGAATTTTCTGAATACAAAAAAAGAGCTGTGGTTATTTTCCCAAGCGGAGTCCAACATTCGAACATGTATTCTATAATAAAGTGCCTCTGACATGACTTTTTTGTAAAAAATATGAATGCCTTTATGGAAATATAACACTGATAACTTATTGCAAATAAAATTTCACACCGCTGGGATGAACATTTGTTGAGATATTAGCATGTGAAGTAACAGGAAGTGATGTCAAAGGGGAATGTCTGAATGGGAACAGAGCGTTGCTAAAATGGCCGACAACACAGCCTGATTATTTTAAGTCACTATCAAAGAAAGATGAAGAATCAGAGTTCAAACAATAATGTACCAGGAAGGTCCTTTACTTAGAGTTCCCCTTTGATGTCACCTCCTGTTACACTTTGGCGGAGCCAAGATCAAAAGAAAATACGCCAGTTATGTGGTTATTATTATTATTTTTTACTTTTTGTATTTAGGATATGCATGTCATAGGCACTTTTGCTGACAAGAGGAGGCACATCTTGGACAGGTCACCAATCTATCAAGAGACTTAGAAAAATGGACAAACATTCACTAACTCACACTCACACACCTAGGGACAATTTAGAGTTATCAATTAACCTACATGCATAATTATGGTCTGTGGGAGGAAATAGCAGTACGTGTGGAAAACCCAGGTATGAACTAGAGTAAGCAGGCAAGCTCAAATCATAAAGGCCCTAGCTGGGAATTAAACTTGCAACCTTCTTGAAGCAAGCAAACATTGTCCAGTTAAACTGCACCACCATGCAGCACCAGACGTCTCTCATTCTTGGTGTTTTACTGACACACCTGAAAGCTCCAGAACAGGAAAACAGATGAAGTGTTGGTTTTTAAGAGATGCTCAGACTCACTAATCAACAGTTAATCAACATGTTTGATTAGCAGCGCCTTGATGCTATTTACCCTTACTATTTATACGAAAGCAGTAAGAGCATAATTAGGTTCATGCTGCTCTTTTAGGTTGCACAAAATAAACAACACAGCCCAACACTGAATGTTGTGTGTTGTCATTCTTCTGAGGTCATATTTATTTGGACCACAAAGGTTTCTTTGCATTTATTTTCAATCAAGAGCAGCTGTGTCCAAATTCAGGGGCCGCATCCTTCGAAGGACTACTTGGGCCAGGTTCTTTGTGGACCACAATGACGAAGAAAGTGGCTGTGAATTTGGACTGTCTAGCGCTAAACCGAAGCAATGAAAATCGAAAATAGATCAAGATTAGCAAAATATTAATATATTAATATTATAAATCATGCAGTTATAAATGCAGATGACATTTTAAAAGCAGCAGGAAATTCAAGGCTGCTTTGTTCCAAAACAATTGGATTATCTATTTGGCTCCCAGCGGCACGGCCTTGAGGGCAGTGTTTATCTCAATCTCCCCAGGATGGAATGTCGACAAAGAGCTTGATTCGCTCCCACCCCCATCACCCGTGTTGGACCCGGCCCCGGAACTCAATGGCTGAAGAGGAGGAAACTCTGAACTTTAGCGAACTGAGTAGAGATGATAACATCATGTGACTATGGACTCTAGAGGGGGCCAGGGTTGGGTCCTAGCACAGATCCCCCCCCCTCAATGCCACCTATTCCTCTGAACCCGCCCCATCTTACCTCCCCTTTATGTGTTGTTGATCCCCAGCCCCCACCCTTCCTTAGCTCCTTGCTCTATGCGAGTAGTTTTTTTGAGCATATGATTCTGTGTTTCTGTGTCTGTGTAAACATAGGATCAGAGCATCTTTTTTTTAAACTCAATTTTCCTATTGTGTGCATTCCAAGCTGCAAAAGGTATAGCGCGACTGTGGTTGCAAAAGACCTTGGACATTTGTTCCCCCATGTTTGTTTTGTGTCTTTCATCTGAATGGATCTTCTAAACTGCAATTTCATTCTGCATTGCATCTGTGATGTTGTGTTGAATGAAAATAAAGCTGATTCTGATCTGATTCTGAAATTAACAAAACTGGCTTAGAGGCAATACATGAAGAACTAAGGGGCCTGCCATACGAACTCATTTACAATGATTTCTGACAAGAATAATAATGCTGAAAAACATGTCTATGCAAATGACAAACGCATAAAAACACAACCTCTTTAAACATTTAATCTTCATCGGCCCGCAAAGCATCTCGGGATAGGGTAAGCTGTGAAGGATACACCGGACCCATACCTCAAATCAACTGTACCTCAAATTCGGCACTTTGCTTTGACACAATTTGAATTCAAATTTGGCCTTTGAAAGATGCAACCCCTGAATTTGCACACAACCTTATATTCCCAGTAAATTCTTACCTTTTCTGCCATAGTGTTGTTTTCAGTGATGTAAATAGTGTAGAGCACAATAATCCCATTAGGCTCAGTAGGTGGAAGCCACATCAAGGTGACAGAGGAAGCAGTCACATTTACAAAAGTCACATTCTGCGGGGGATCGAATGGCTCTGAAAGTAGGGACAGAAAAAAAAGAGAAACCCCACAGACGGTTTATAAAGCATCAGACAAAACATATGGTTTGTCTGCAAACTGTGGTCAAAACAGACAAAACAAATGTCTGTGGTACCGGCTTCACTGGTGGTAAAGCTGATATAGATCAGCACTCCTCCATCTCCCAGTCGGGTCCAGCTGGAGACAGAGGCATTGTAGCGACTCTCAGAGTCCACATTAATAACCACAGACGTTTGTGTCACATTCTGCCACAGCTCACTCGTTTTATTCCTAACAAAGGAGACAAACATTCATGCGGAACTGGGCCTTCTTTTCAAACAGGAAAAAAAAAGCTCTAAAGAACTCACCAAACTCTGACAATGTAGTAGAGGATGTCTGAATTCGGATTACGCGGTGGTTCCCATGACAACTCTACCTCATAATCTGACAACTTCCTGGCTTTGAGGAACTGAGGGGGAGTGTCTGGAGCTGAGACAAATGAGACTTATGGAATCTGAAAAGTTAAGGTGAAGTTATTTCTCATAAGGTTTAAAGTTTTATAAGTCAGGAGCTGGGATATCTCCAAAGGCAAATGCAGAGAAAGGGACGGAATAATGTCCTGAAAAGAAAGAAGACGTAGATTTAGTTTGTGAAGAAGATGCTTGTGACTCTCAGACCTGAAGAAAGAACCGGGGATCACCGAGGCCGAGGAAAAACCTGTGATGTAACATTATTTGCATGAGGTGAAACAGAGATTGAGGAGAGGAAAGCCTGGAGGAAAAACGCGGATTTAATCAGATGCCCTTCAAACATCATCAGCCAGTCGAGCTGCGATCATTCAGAGCCCTGGAAGTGAAAAGGAACCCTCCGCCCCCTCCTCACCATCCTCTAGTGTGGTGATGTTGAGCGGCTCGCTGCTGTGGTTTCCCGGCCCGGCTCGGGTGTGCGCCTGAACCACGACGCGGTACTGCGTGTACTTCCTCAGGTGCGTGATGAGGATGAAGCTGCCCGGCGAGGTGAGGTTCACGTGGTGCGTGGAGTTCCAGAGGTCCAGGCTGTAGTGGGTGATGACGCCGTTGGGCAGCAGAGGAGGACGCCACGTCACGTTCACCTCGCTGGGACTCACCGACTCGTAGGAGAGTCCAAACGGGGGACTGCCTGGAACTGCAGGTGAAAGAAACGGCTAGTAGTAATCGTCGAGTCTTTCGCACCACGGTTGAATCTTTCCACCCACCATCTTCTCCAGACAGAAGGAGCAAAGCGTCTGATGTCTGGTTGCCGTTGCCGTACCGCGTGTACGCCCTCACAGACACGTTGTAGTAGGAGAACGGCTTCAGCTCCATCAGAGTGACTCTGTTGGACGTGGTGTTCACCAGCGCAGAGAAGGACTCGTTTTCATACGAGACCTCGTAGAACTGGATCACTCCATTAGCCTTCTCTGGGGCAGACCAGGTCAGAGTGGCCGTCGAGGCGCTGGTGTCCACAACCGTGAGATTTTCAGGAGGGGAGTCAGGCTCTGAGAGAAAAAGAGATAAACAAAAATCACAGAAAGAGAATAACTTCATTTAATGAAAATTAGACGTCTTATAATTATTGATATTTAATGATTGGGAATTATTTTCACTCTGGCAAGAAACTTGTTTGATGATGCAACTTTTATGTCTTTACCCTTTCTCTATAGTTGCCTGTATAAATTCAGGGATAGTTTCATACCGTCCTCTAAAGTGTGAACAAAAACGTCATCCTCCTCCGACAGCGCGCTCTCTCCCACAGCTGTCGATGCAGCGACACGAAGCTTATAGGCAGTATACTTGTCCAGTTCTACACATTTACACAGAAAAAAAAACTAATCAGCCTACCTTTTCTAGGGAATCATCACATTAATAGGATAGCTCAGATGTTTTGAAGTGGAGTTCTGTATAATTAAAGTTGTTTTTAGATGACAGCAACTAATTTTAGTCTCAGCTCCACAGATTAGCTCATAAATCTGGTCAGATTTAAAGTGCCTGTGACACCAAATTTTTGTAATAAATATGAATTTGTTTTTGGTATTATAACATTGTAAACTTTTTACAAATAACATTTTGTGCTGCTGTGATGAACAGTTGTTGAGATATTTGCATGTGAGGAAACAGGAAGTGATGTCAAAGGGGAATGTAGAGCGTTGCTACAATGGCTAACAACATGGACTCTAGAGAAGAATCTGATGTTTCTTTAGATTATTTTGAGTCTCTATTAGAGAGAGATGAAGGAGAGTCAGAGTTCAAACAATATTGTTTCAATAAAAGAAAATCAGGGTGTTCCTTTTAAAAAACCTTTGATGTCACTTCCTGTTTCACTTTGTTTGAGTCATGTTCAAATAAAAGTCTGCCAGTTATGTGATAAAATTGGTAAAATCACTTGTATTATGCCAAGTTTCTTAAATATAAAGATGTTTTCTTTGACTTTTTGTATTTGAAGGATATGCATGTCACAGGCACTTTAAAGTGATGTTAAATGTTACAGTTCGGAACCTTCCCACAGAAACTTAGTTCAAAAGATAACTATCCATGTGGTAAATTTATTTATTTATTCTTTTATATATATAAACTGATTATTATTTCTTTCTGACAAAGCATAAACGTAAGCACCTGATATTATTATGTTGGTATTGTTCGTTTCCCATTTCCGGGCTCGATTAGTGCGCAGATTAAGGCCATAAACGGTGTAATGTGTGATCCATCCATTAGGACTGAGTGGTGGGAGCCAGCTCACACGTATGGAGGTGGAGCTGATGTTTTGATAGGCCACTTCAAGCACTGCACTGGGGACTTGAAACACAAAATATTTTATATTAATCCAAAGAATTCATTTGCAAGTTCTGTACTTTTTTGTTGTTGTATTTTAGACACTACCATGCGCCCACCCTGTTCACTGGTCTTCTCAGTAATATCTGTAGCAGGTCCTTCTCCTGCAGTGGTGGAAGCGGTGACTCTGAATCTGTACTCAGTGAAGGGGTTCAGATCTGACACCAGGTAAGACAACTTCTCAGACAAGACGTCCACCACCTCCTGCTTCACTGTTACGCCTGGAGCAAACGTAGAGACATGGGGGGATTGTAAGCATTGGGGTTCTTTTTAAAAGCAAAACAAAGTTATGCAGAGCTCACAGTTCCTGCCGCCACACCTGGAGTTCCAGACACGGCGGAGCTGAGCGTTGAAACGTGTGCTGTAACTGAAGCGACCCGTGTAGACAGGCGCGGCTGGCCCGGAGTCAGGGCTGAGGTGGAGGCGTTTGTGTGGGACTGCTCAGTCAGCCAGGGTGGAAGCGTAGCGGGTGGCGTGGACGTGGCGGTGAACGCGGCGCTCCCCGCGCTGGCGGAAGATCGAGAGTCGCCGGGAGTTTGTGACTCGAAGCGTGTGCTGGACTTGCCGACGGTCACAGTGAGGTGGGTTGGCGGAGCGTCGGTGTCAGTGACACGATCAGTGCTACTGCCGGCTGAGCGCGTGGAGATGGAAGCGGTCGTGTCGGCGGGCAGCGTGCGGGGAGCAATGGTGGCTGTGAAGATCGGCGGAGATGTGGTCGCGTTGAGCTCAGCCGATCTCTTACTTCGAATTTGCGTCAGGTTCGTGGAAACAAAAGGAGGAAGTGTCCCATTCTGATATAAAGAGGTTGTGTTCTGAAAGAAGAAAGAAGAGCAGCGGCTTTGAAACATTTTGATTCATCAGCAGTGGATAGAAGTGATACAAAATGTCTTCCAGTTTTTCCATTTTAAGAAAGACACATCCAGAACCTAGAGAAATATGGAAACATAACATTTTGATTCTTATTTTCAGGTTTATGTTCTAACATTTGAGCTTATTTATTATTTTAGGATTTGTGTATTTATAGAAATTAAACCATTTTCGTGGAGAACTAAACAATAATAATTAAAGACATAGCTTTCATTGAAGTTTCTGCATTCCTGGGTCCTACCTCATCTGAACCTGATATTAAGTATGGCAAATGTGTACTTAAAAGTAATCAGTAATTACATAAATATAAATTACACGTAAAGTTACTTTCCAATGGTTAATACAATTATTAACAAATGAACCAGATGCTGATCTGAAGCCTCATTAATTTAAACAGCTCTAACGCACATTCAGGCACAGAAGGTTGAGCTTTAAGCTCTTTGTTCTGGATTTACACTATAAAATTATGCTGCTAGCATATTAGTTGCAGAGGCGGTGAATATCAGCCTTTACCTCCGATGCGAGGGTGATGACCTGCAGCAGCATGTGGTCCACCAAGACCTGCAGCCTGTACTGGATTATGGGACCGTTGGGCTGGGCAGGGCTTCTCCAACTCACACGAATGGAAACAGAGTCTTCGGCCTCCGCCTTCAAGCTCTGCACTGCACTGGGTGCTGCTCAGAGGAACACAACATTTACACACAGACGCAAACTAAAACCTGGGCATGTGCTGACGAACTCGTTCAGCACGTTACTTTACAAGCCTTCTCACCCTCAGATGGTGTGATTGCAACTCTCCACGCAGCTGGACCCAGCTCTCCTGCTGCTTTTGCTCGGATGGATATGTTATACCTCGTGTAAGGAGTCAAAGCAGTGAAAACAAAACGCATGTCCACTGTGGAGTTCTCATACAGAAAACCTGAAAAGGACAAAAAAATATGTTGATATTTGATACACATCTGTTAAGTTAATATGAATGTGATTTTTGTAGGTGATTTTAAATAACCTGTAGGTCCATCAAGGTAAAGCACGTAGCTGAACTTTCCAGTGATAATACTGGGAGGGTTCCACGACACAGAAATTGCTCTTGACGTCATATTTGGCACAGCGAGGTTTTGTGGTGGATCTTCTGGAGCTGCCGTTTAAAAACACAAATGTTAAAAGACGATGCAACATTTCAGATTTTCAAACTCAAGGCCCGCGGGCCAAATCTCACCCTTGTTAACATTTTATCCAACCCCAGAGGTAACCCTTTAACTGTGAGATAGTTTTATAGTTTCTCTTCTTGTCACTTTCAATGCAGACTTCTCATAAAAGGAATCAACTTTAATTGCCTTTTCTGTATTCTCTTCTTGTTTTAAAGTCAAATATTTGGATTTTTAGTGATTTTTTTTACTGATTTGCTGGATTGTGATTAAAAGTTCTCTAAGAAGTAATAAATGAAAAAGTTGTGAATAGAGTGTAAGGCATAAGAAACAAAGGCTAATGATGTGTCTTTCCTAATGTTTAATTTTAAAAGGTAAAAATGTCATTAGCATTTCTGTAATAATAACTTGTTCAATAACATTTAAAGGGGACCTATTATGCTAAATTCACTTTTTAAAGTTTTTTTTTACTCAACTTTGGGTATGTACTTCTTAAAAAACAGTCGTAGGACCAAAAAAAATGCACCCAGGGGCATATTTACTGTAAGCACATATATTTTTAATGTATATTAATGACAAGTTTTATACTTCCTACATTTTGTTATGTCACAAGCCGTACGACAACCCACCGGAACCTGCGTTCAGCCCCTCACCTAGCAACCCCCGGGTGAAGCTCCACCTCCTCAGTATAAAAAGCCGACACGGTTGTTATTGTGCAATGCGCAGCTCATTTCACAACAAGCCTCCAATAGGGCAATGGGTAGAGTGCTGGACCAGAGAGTGGGAGACCATGTTTTGAGACCAACATGACACTAGTTTTAATTACTAGCCATGCTAACGTAAACGCTGGCTCTGGAGGATGAAGTTTGGAGGGCGTTACCAACAGAGCTCATTAACATAAAAAGCTTGTTCTGAACAGAAGTCAGAGCAGGCAGAACTAGAAAATTTTATTTAAATAAATTTTATTATCTGAGAATTATTTTGTGCATTAAATTGAATGAACATGGTCTGGATAGCCCACAGACATACCATAAAAATTTCTAGGGCCCATAATTGGTCTCCTTTAAAACCAATACATTTTTCAATAAATATTGACAGAAGTTGGACCTTGGCTTAAACAAAGCTTTGAATTTTGGCCCCCTTGTGTGACTGAGTTTGACACTGCTGCTGCTTGGTCTTTTTACACACCTGATTCTGGCATCCGAACCATGGTAGAAGCTATCTGTCCCTCTCCGTCCGAGGTGAAGGCTGACACCTCGAACAGATAAGCAGTGTAAGGTCGCAGCTTATCGACCCCCACAGAAATGGGGACACTCCAGGAGGCTGCAGGGGGGATGGCGGAGAGGGTGATGGACGGAGACGATGCTGTTATCTCCAAGGGACTAGGAGTTGCACGTGACAGGATTTCAGCCGCGTCCTGGGTTAGGACATAAAGTAGTATTTATGATCCAGATGTAAATTTAAATATTTTAATAATAAAAAAAAAGAATGAGAGGACTGCGTACGTTGCAGTGAGGCAGAGCTATGGTCATGATTTCGTCTGCGTTGACCTCCATGACGCGGACCGTCTGCGACGTACGAACGTTTTTCGTCTTGACTGCGAACTTTGTGATGAGGCCGTTGATGCGCTGCGGCAGGTACCAGGTGACCACGACGAAGGTGTGGTTCTGAGCGTACGCTGTCAGATTGGTCACCAGGCCGGGGGCTGCAGGAAATACACGAAAACACAAGTTTGCTCGCCTGCAGGATTTGTTTCAGATGCTGCCTGCATCAGACTACTCACGTGACTCATTAGTTTTTATGTATATAGGTTTGCTGAAGGCTCCTCTTCCCACTGGTGATTTAGCTGCTACCTAAAAAATAAAACAGTGTGTTTGTGTGTCCGTTAGCAAAATATTTTATGAACCACTGTACGAGTCTTAATGAAACTTTCAGAAAATAATCATCGAATATACTTCTACAGCAGCTATCATATTCCAGGTATAAGCTAATCTCAGCCACCGCTATAAAAATACTACTTTTAGAAAGGACAGATAGGTGTATATTTCTTTCTGTTTTTATGGAAAATGACACACAAATAATTCAACAGGCCTTAAGGAAGATTTATCTCTGGTTTATAAAAGCTATTGTTGTGGCCTGCCCTGTAATCTGGGATGAAAGGTCTGTGTGTTGTTCTATTCATAAAGCGAAGGGTCGACAGAATTGCAGGGAAGATATAGTAAAATGATACACGAACACACACACACACACGAGCACAAACGCTCCATGTGCAAGCATATTCACCAAGTGAGGCAGTCTTTTAAAGTCTGTTTGGATGAAGGTCATTGTGGGTTAATGAATTCTGAAAACTAATAAGCATGATCACGTTCAAGCTCTGTGACAACAGACAGTGGAAAGAGCCCCAGCTGATCCATAGATCTGTTTACCTGATTAATAATTGAATCAGGATCAATTACCTGCATTCAGCCAGATCAAGAGAATAGCCAGGTCTCTTTGTGATCCCTGCCACATCCAGATAATAAAAAGAGGACCATTTCAAGGAATGCTTGCTCTGAGACAAGCATAGATTGATGCTTATTGCAAATTTACAAATAATCCAAAATTTATACTGATTTGGTGTATATATGATCTAGATTTCTTCAAGAGAATAGTCTTTATTAGCTTTTGTTCTTGACCTCACAGAAGAAAGTTCCTGTTAATTGCTTTATAAATGCCAATAAATAAATAAATAAATAAATAAATAAATAAATAAATAAATAAATAAATAAATAAATAGTTTACCCTACCTGAATTTGATATGTGGAACCAGAGGTGAAGACAGTAAGCAGAGTTTCTGGTATGGCTAGGTTTATTTCCATTTCTGAGAAATAGGTTTTGGGGTATGGGCACATCTCCTTGTACCTAAAACAATAAAAAAAAAATAAATCTTTAGAGTATAAATCCTATTTCAACAACAGTAACACTTATATTAAACAAGTATCAGGTAAAAAAAAATTGGGAAGTTATTCATAGATTAGATTTGTCAGATAAAATAGAGTTGGCTGGAAAAACATGCCCCTTGATATAAACACTGCAGAGTCTTTTAAAATCCTGTCTGAAACATATTTTTACTTTGGCCTTTATTTGAGTTCAGTTTGAGTCCTATCAGGACTTTTATGTTGTAGTATTTCCTTGTTTTGGTAGTGGTTTTGTGAGGTTTTAGACAAATATTGCAGACTTGAAACAAGGCACTTTGATTACTTCACAACACATAACGCTCCAGTGAAGGAGAGGAGAAAACTAATGGGTTTTACGGACATAATGAATACTGGAAACACTTGGCGTGATAACAACATGGGGACAGGTGAGAGTGGGCGGGGCAGGATTGAGGAATAGAGACAAAAGTACAAAGGATTTTCAGAAACACTGACAATGAGACACAATGAACACATGGAAGATATAGAAGCCAAACACCTTGAGAAATAAACATGAAAATAAACCACAAAACAAACTAAACACTGACTTCAATAATACCCCACTTTCTAAGGAATGGTACTATATGTCCCAAAAGACAAAAAGACTACCTGAGTTGAAAGGAAGGAGAGGAAAACCAGGACAGAGGGACCAAACAAAACAATAAATTCAACAACAAAAGACCATGTTGCCTAAAATCCCACATTCAGACTTCTTCTTTCCATTGACCTCCACTCCCACAAGTATCCATCTCAACGTTCAGGAACTATCACCTCATATCACCTAATCCTATTTGGTGTCTGCTGAATCACAAATAGAACATTTGTTGTTCTTATCAGCGGGAGTCAAGAACCAAAGGGGTTCTGATTGGTCACCCAAAACAAGTTAATCCTCTCAGACTTTCTGCCTCAAAAAACTGGGACAATAACTGTCAGTTATGTTGATTCCAAAGGATATTTACATCCAGAGAAAACAACATCTTACGACCTGTTTTTTTTTTCGGACATGTCGTAAAACTCTGGTCTCCAACATCAAAACTTATAATGTCATGACTTTTTCTCTCAAGACTGAGGGAAAGATCAACATCTACACCTATGGACAAAGTTAGGAACACCGTTGTTCAAATTTTTCATGAACTGACTTTTAAAATGAAAAACACACTCTTTCTTTTAGTGTCTTGTTTTACTTTACATTTTAGGCTTTATGTATGTTGTACCTTTTTAATGCCTATCTCTTGTGTTTCCTTTACAACGGAGTATTAGGACCACACGAGATTTTTAATTTTTTTTAAAATTACGAGAATAAAGTCATAATATTACGACATTAAAGTCGTAATATTACAAGATTAAAGTTATAATATTACGAGAAAAAGGTCTTATTATTCTAGCTTTTATACAAAAAAGCAAGTCAAGTTGTTCTTTAGAATTGCTTAAAATAAATTGTTAATATTTTAGCACATTAGCATCGTATTACCAGTAGAAGGACTTGGAAATTGTGCAAATGACTATAAACTGAAGCTGTGTTGTAATTAATGGATGCATTGACAGATTTAGTCGGCACATAGCTAATTTGGATGAAAGAATATTAATCTAACAGTGACCCAAGTCATCATGGACTACTTTATAAACACAGACACATGGCTGTACACAGAAGGTGTAGTGAAAATGAGGAAATGAGGAACGAAAAATGGACACGTCATGTAAGATTATGACTTTATTCTCATAAAATTATGACTTTATTCTCATAAAATTATGACTTTATTCTTGTAAATTACGACTTTAGTCTCGTAATATTATGAATTTATTCTCATAAAATTATGACTTTAATCTCATGATATTATGACTTTATTCTCATAAAATTACAATTTTAATCTTGTAAAAATAATAAAAAATCTTGTCGTATTTCCTTAGTTCCTTCAGTCTCAGCGTATAAACTTTTTCTACCTTATCACTGTTTTCAATTAACTTATATGTGTTACTTTATATGTGTTACACTTTACTGTATAAAACACAATTTATACAGTAAATAATGTTTGATTTGATTTGATTTACTAGTAAGTGGTAGGTTTTAGAAGGCCTTACTTCAGTTTCTCATTTATAATAAATAATCTGAATATTTTCTATAATGTTGAATTTTTTTTTTAGATTTAAGTGCGCAATCAAGGAAAAAATAAAACTACCTGATGACATATCCTTCAATGTTGTGTGCATCAGTCGGCATGGTCCAGGATAGCAATATCCCATTAGAACCGACAGCTTCCCCTTCAAGGATTACAGGAGGACCAGGAACTAAAGAGGAGAACATATGCATATGTGAAGACCAGCAACCAGATGAGCAGATCCTCAGTACAGCTGTGCAAACAGTTGTTGTGTGTTAACTGAAGCCAACTGGTGTCTCAGAGTTAAACATGTGTAACATATGTCTACTGTCTTATCACATTATTTAGTCTGTTGAGTCAAACTCCTGAGGATTTTTTATTTATTTAAACATCTATACGTTTGGTGGCCTGATCCTCTGAGTGTGTGCACGTGTGGGAGGGTAGATGTGCACGGCGCCTGCACGGATGTATTTTTAGGGCTGAAGCCTGATGAATAAGGCTTCACACAGCAGTGGCATTTCACTGACATTCACTTCGGACCCATTCATCCAGTGGTTCAAAAGCCCTGGGTTAAGTTACCTAATGGGAATTAAACAGTGAAGGAAGTATACACATCCTCTTCCACAGTGTGTGTGTGTGTGTGTGTGTGTGTGTGTGTGTGTGTGTGTGTGTGTGTG